AGGTGGAGGGTGGGGGGGGGGGGGGGTGGGGACATCACAGCGTTCCCGTTCTTCTCTTCGATTCAAAATGTTGAGACTTCCGTTGTCCGGACTTGGAGAAGTATCCGTCCAGTAGAAGAGCGAAGTCGAACAGCAATGAAATGGCCGAAGAGGGTTGCGAACGGAAGGAAGTTATTCTTCACAGCCGTCGGGCTCCTGTTCTTGTTCGATCAAAATGTTGATAATTCCGATCCAACGGAATATGAGAGATTGCTCGTCGAATGAGCCAAAGAACGCAAAGAGCCTCCGTCCTTCTCACAGCCAGCGAGCTCCTGGTTCTCTGCCTTTCTCCGACCAAATGTTGTAATCTCCTTCTGTTCCAGAGAGAGCAGTGGTGAGCGAGCGCAGAAATTGAGTGCGAGACGGAGATGCAGCGAGAGAGATGTAATGAGCCCAATATCCTCTCCTTGGTCGTTTCTTTTTTAACGCCCGTGCAGGCGTGCGATGAACGACTGCGATATGGGCCCGTCCTGTGCGAAAGGGCGGCGACTCGTGCGAGTGCCAAGAGAGCCGGTGACGATTTTTTTATTTGATTTTTGTTTATTTCCAATTACGGCAGTCAACAGGACGATATTCACTATCACAATATATCCAAAAATCCAGAAGAAATCTCCCGGTGATGAGAAAAGGGAATTTATATGTCAAGATGAGGAAATACCTCAGTGACATCCATAAATTAGTCTACGCCACCCGGATCTGCAACACATATACAAGCTAGACAGATGGCTGTCTACGGATCTACAACTTCAAACTACCACCGATTAATGCAACTACTAATATCAAGCAGACAAAGGCGTCTACGATCCACAGCATCGCCACCGTATCTGGATCTGCAACACTAATACAAGCAGACAGAAGGCGTCTACGATCCACAATGCATCACCACCGGATCTGCAACATTGATACAAGCAGACAGAAGGCGTCCACAACTACAACACCACGCCACCGGATCTGCAACACTAATACAAGCAGACAGAAGGCATCTACGATCCACAATGCATCGCCACCGGATCTGCAACACTGATATAAGCAGACAGAAGGCGTCTACGATCCACAATGCATCACCACCGGATCTGCAACACTGATACAAGCAGACAGAAGGCGTCTACTATATTCATATTCGGCCTTTAAGGCCCTTCAACAAAGAAAGTTCATGAACAAAGGCATGAAGCCTAAAGAACCCGATCCTTCTATACGAATCAATAGGAGTCGATAGGGTTCGAACTATCAAATAGATACACGGTTGTAGCGACCGGTGTATTTGTTTAAATACATTCTTTTTAGGCATTCAATGCCTAAAATTAAGGAAATTCATGAACAAAGGCACAAAGCCTATGAAACCTGATCCTCTGTCAACAAATCGACAGAGTTGACAGGGTTCAATCAACTAAAGTGGAGATGACCCCAAACACCCCGATGATGGCCATGTTGATTGCTTATCTCAACTGGAGGGGTCCACAATATATTTAAAAAATGCCCTCAAACATCTACAAAATCTAGATATTTTTCAAGTAACCTCAAGGTTACCCCGATAATGGCCGTGTTGATTGCCTATCTCAACCGGAGGGGTTCTCAAATACTTTCAAATGCCACACAAATACTCCAAAAATCCAAAATCAATCCCAAAATTCAAGATATTTAAAATTGAAATCTATCTATCAACTCTTAAAGAAAAATCCATCCGCCCTCCACAACCGTTTGCCGGGGTGGACAAATCAAGATTTACTTCAGCTCATAAAGAGCAAAATGCCTAGTCGAAAATATCACTAGGATCCATTCTCAAAACAATCTCCTGCCAGTAAGGACGTGGTACGTGTCCTCTAATCGGCGGTTAGCCGCCAAATGGCACCGCAGGATAAACAGTTATGACGACCCGGGGCCCTCTGAACCGAGTGGTTTTTGCCGCCAAATGGCACCACGAAATACCGGTTATGGCCAGCGCCGATACGCTCCTTATTGGTATCAAATCCTTGAGATATGAATAAATAGGATATGATTGATAGGGCACAAAGCTCTCTGTTAGCTAAGGTGGATTCAAATTTATCCCCTTAGGCAAATACCCAACCCCGGTCTACAAGGTCCCCTTGGACGAAGCAACTCATGGCTGCCGACAAGGATCCTTCTGTCAGGTTGAGTCGACTACCTCCTCTAACTAAGTAGACCAGGGACCACGATGGCCCGGGACGACGGAACCATGGGATCTTGATCGGGCCCATCATCCATTCCCCCACCATCTGCTCTAAGTACAAGATGGTGCAATTTCTATTTTGAATATCAAAATCTCCAAATTCCCAATCCAAAAACTCAATTTTCAATACCTAAACCATTGTTGCTACTATACGCCAGATAACACGTATGTTATACTTATCTGATCGACGACTAGCCTTAATCGAAAGTTCTCTCTCGTGATCGGGAGGGGTAATTAACTATAGGGGCTTGCGCCTATAGGAAACCAGAACTCAGATCATAAAGTCCTCGCAAAATGAGGGCGAAATATCTGGGTAGTGTCTTATCTACAAACCCATCTGCCTTCCAAAATTTACCTCGGAACATAGTTCTTTAAAACTCCCTCACCGAATAAGAAAAGCGAGTGGAGGCCGAGGCCGAATTTTCGGAGCCCACAGCTATCCAATTGAGTGACTTTGATGACTTGTTACCTGTAAATGGGATAATATGTTAGAACTTTAATTTTGAGAAATTAATGATGTTAACTTTAACAATATAGAGATTTACGTGTGCTTGCCATAGATATTTCATGATTAAATGCCTCAGGGAAACATTTTACAAAGGAATGACATTCTGCTTCTGCGTCTAACAACTTAATGAATTGATCAAATAAGTAAACTATTGCACAGAGGACCACTTTAAAGTACCGCCTAACTGTTTCGAGTGAGTGTTGAAAAACTCGCACAACTATGTGTAACCGTGAGCATGTGCAATTATCTTTATAAAAATATCCAGTTTTTTCTCAACTAAAATGTTTCTTTTATCCCGTAGCAAACCTTGAATAACCAACATATCTTTCAACTGATGAAATACTAGATGGAAATCTGAAATATTTATACAAACGTAAAAGAAACCCAAAAAGCAGATCACCTATGTATTGTTGGCCTCTATTGTACATAGGTCTCCGAATACTTGGCTTGTCATCTGATGAATCGCTGCCACCGATGAGATATGGAACAAATTGATTAATGATATTATTCAAAAAAAAAAAAAAAAAGAACTCAACATGCTCGTCGATAAGTTTACATAGTTCATTAGGAATGTGGTGAGTATGGGAGACCCTAAACTCAAAGGTAGTATCTCATATAACAGGATAGCACAACACATTTCAAAACAAGCACCTGGTCTACTAGGTTCTCAGGAGTTCAAGTAAATATGATTTATCATAAAGTTGGCCCACCGGCCAACAACTCTTAGCAAGAAATAAAAGAACCCCATGAACTACACCACTAAGCCTTCAACCTCCCAGTCGTTTGTGTAAGTTTGACATAATCTAGAGGTAAGTCAGCCCAAATAATTTGATTACTCAATAGAAAATGTTTACTGAAGTTAATAACATGCTTGATAAAGGATATCGAGATGACTAAGATAGGCTTGATCGACCACTTCAGGCGATCTGGATGTTTTCCAATTCTATTGGGAAGGTGCAAAATTACTAGACCCAAGGATTTTTCCCATTCCCAAATAGTGTAAGTCATGCAGTCTTGTACATAAAGTTTCAGTCATCATTTATGAATTAAATGTTTCCATTAGTTCCGTAACACTGATTGACAACCCCTACAAGATGTCATGGTTGGAGATCCCACATCATCGATGGTCATCAATGTCAAAGATCACATAGTGACCTCATTATAGATTTGCATTAGCAAAATCTAAAACCTAAGATGAAATGCATCATTTGTTCAGGTCTGTGTCCATGAATTTCAACCATTTAGGTTGATGAAAAAAAAAAGGTCTGTGTCGATGAAGTTTTTTTTTTTTAATCCGGTGAATTTATCAGAAAAAAATTAATGAAGGAAAAAAGAAATTGGAGGATAAGTTGTAATACTTGTAGATGATAAATGAGAAGAGATTAATCATTTCTAGGAACTTCTGGAACTTGGAGGAATATCTAGATTGGTAGTTCTAGCAGGTTGCGGGGACATGGATTTTTATTTATGTGGATGGAATTTTTTGAGGTTTTTTTCCAGCTTGCTTAAGCTAAAAAAAATGAAGACAATAGGTTAGAAAATGAAAATCATTGGCATGGAAAATGAGAACAATCATTTTGGAAGAACGAAGAACTTAGGGTTTAGGGTATAATGCTTCGACATCAGAGCATTTTTCCTAAAGATAAGGATTTGGAAGGGTACATATGTTTGCTTCTAATAGTCTATTGTAATTTGAAATGTCATAGGTCATGGGCTTAGCAACTATACCTGCTGTTGAGGCACTTAATTGTCTTTTGTTTTTCATTGTTTTCTTTGGATTGAGTATTTGGTCATTCATTCAGTCTTATATCTTTATAGATCCTTGTATCAAGTGCTGTATTTTATTACATACCACTTGTGGATGTGGTATAAGGTCTATTTCTTTGCCCTCTGCATCACTATCTATGCGAGTACAACTAAAGAAAATAGTTTCTGGCAATTGTGTAGTATTAGGGAAGGAATTTGTAATCATTTGAAGGTTTGAATTTGCTTAATTTAACATGTAATATGGTTTTAAGTTCACTCTATTTGTAATTCGGAATACTCTTGAGACATGGAGTCTGTGGCCCTATGCATCACTAACTATGCGAGTAGAACTAAAGAAAATGGTTTATGGCAATTGAGTAGTATTAGGAAAGTAATTTGTAATCATTTGAAGGTTTGAATTTGCTTAATTTAACATGTAATATGGTTTCAAGTTCACTCTATTTGTAATTCTGGATGCAGCAGGTCAACAGAGTCCTGATGCAGATGTAAATTTTTCAGGCAAGATCCAAGCTTCGGCACCATGCTGCAGCTGTTCAAGTTCTAAGTGGATTGGAAAGAGGAGTTTTCAGGGTCTTGTGGATCTTGTTGAAATGAAAGCTTATTATTTTCATTTATCCAATGGGTATGTTATAGCATGAGGACATACAGAGCACTGATGTTTTCCCGCTTATGTTGTTTTAATTTTGATACCTGAAAATATCATTATATGCAATTTTAGTATTCTTGTTGTCTTTGCAGTGAGGATATTGTTGCATCTGATGTCCCCTCAAATCTTGAGGCGTTGGTCTTAGAAAAGCGACAGAAACTCATAGAAGTTGTTTCTGAAGTTGATGATCAGCTTGCTGATTCTTTTCTTAATGATCAGCCCATATCATCAGATGACCTCAAGGTATTGTTAAAATATGTTCCAAACTCACTGCTTCAAAACTTTCTTTCGTAGATGTTTTGGTTAATTTTGCATCATGGTCTTTGAATTTTCTTTGGCACATCTCTAAGGACTATGATGACGATAATGTAGCGCCTATACGGAAAGTTGATTTAAAATGACCTTCAAATACTTAGCATCTATTTCTCTGTTCTCCATGTGGAGGCTGTGCATTAAACACTGCATGCCTCTGTAATTTCTTTCAAAATAATTGCTCTGAATTTCATAATTCTATCTTATTTTGTACATCTTATCTGAAGATTAAAGTCCTGCTTCATATATTTATTTGTTTTACCTTATTTTTGAGTGTTCTGATTTAATTGAAGTTCACATTTCTATATTTCTGAATGCTATTTTAAATTCTTTTATGATCATGTATTCTTTCTACCATTTAAATGTTTTGTGTCCTATCATTTCAGATGGCTATCCGTAGGGCTATAGTATCACAAAAATTTGTGCCCGTTTATATGGGAAGTGCTTTTAAGAACAAGGTGCTAAACGACCTATTGTTTTTCTTAGAACCATCTTTTTCCTCTATGCTGCTTAAATTTCTTAAAATTTCATGTTTCATCGTGTCACAAATTTGTCCAATCCATGATAGGATGCAATTTGATTTTTGTAGGGTGTACAACTTCTTCTTGATGGGGTAATTAGCTTTTTGCCCTGTCCTACTGAAGTTGAAAATCATGCCCTGGGCCAGGACATGGCTGAAGAGAAGGTGCATGGTGTTCTCTATCTATGGAAGGCTTGACATGCCAATATTTCTTTGAAGTTATCTGTATTATCAATTCTTTATTCTTTGTTGAAGGTTATGTTATCTGGAAGTCCAGCTGGACCTCTTGTTGCTCTGGCTTTCAAATTAGAAGAGGGTCGCTTTGGCCAGTTGACTTATTTAAGGTATGTCTAACAATTTTATTTTTCCCGTTTTGCATTTCCTTTGTATATTTATTAACTTATTACTTTCAGTATTAAATATGAAAAGCTAATTCTTAGATCTGTTATTTATTAATTTGTTTTTGCCAGAATATACGAAGGTATTATAAGAAAGGGTGACTTCATCAACCAGATCAAGGTAATATCTAATTTTTCAACATTTTTATATAGATGTTTAGGAGAGAGTAATTTGCAAGTTATCGTTGTGCTGTATTGAACGAAAATATATCTTATAACTAATGTGGAATAACTGTGCGGCCATGTTAGAAGAATCCACCTGGAACTTATTTTGATTTATTGATGAAATTGAGCGACAAATTTTTTTTTTTATGTTTCAGCAAGCTTTTAAAGAGCAATTTCTTGCTGTACTGGTCTTGTTAGCAACATTGCTATATGCACATGACAACTTCACAACAAAAACAATGCATTACCAGTAAAACATTAAGAATAATCTGAGACTATTATAGCATTTTCTTGATTATTCTGCTTTTCTGGATTCTTTCTATAAATTTTTATTTGAGGAAAAGGTTAAAATGGTTTATAAACTATTTGTGAGTCTTTTTAGTCCCAAACTATCTAATGTGTACAATTTAGTTACCCTACTCTTCTAAATTGATCCAAAATAGTCACTTGATTCCTTAAATATGATTCAAAATAATCAAACAAAAGGTCTATTTTGAATTATATTTGACAAGTCAATGGACTAAATTGAGCACTTTAGACGTTTGAGACTAAAAAGACCATTTTTAATATCTTTCTTCTTTTAATTAATTGGTTGTTATTAAAACAACCTTGCAAATTATTTTCTCTTAGAGTTATTAGATATAGGGCCGGATTCCTGAGATTTTCCTATCAATAAATCTTAATCAACATTCTCTCCCTATGTATGAAGCTATCTAGTTTCTCTCTTTAGCTTCCTCTCTCTCTCAGTAAGTTTAATTCATTTCTCTCTACCATGGGTGAATTCAAGAAAAAATCAAGCAATTTTATAGCCACTTCGAGAGAGAAAGGAAGAAGGAAATCGTCATCAAAAGGTTCATCATTCCATAAATGAATTGCCAAGGAGGCAGTTTTGTTATAAGAGTTTGACCTCTACGATATTAAATCATACCATACGCCTATTTTTTATACATATGTCATCCTTCACCTGGGGGAGCACCATCTATATGTTACATACATGTGCCCAAGGATAACCGAAGTCCTTGCATTAAAACAAGCATGACATACTAGAATGATTTAATGATTGTAGACCACACAGTGAAATATGATTCATAAATTCATGATAGTTAATTAAATAATTTTGCTAACTTTTGAAGCGATTAAGAAGATACAAAGAATTTTTATCAAATGATAGTTTGATATTTGATTGAATCAATGAAATTCTTGAGAAATCAGAACCACAAAAAATCGATGAACTACTTAAATTTTCTTTTTGCAATTGAAAACTATTTGCAACAAGTTTGTCACGATTGTTGTAGCAGAAATAACGAAGTAGTTTGGAGGAATAAGATTAAAAAAAAAAATAACTCAGGCCTTACATTAGTACAAGTGATGAGGATATCTGCAGCAGTTTTTGTCACACTTATCATCGGAGAAATCGTAGATCGACGGCTACGATTCATAGCCTCTATTTATGATTTTTTAATTTATTTCTGTTATTTATATTTCAGTTTCCATTTGTACCCCAATAAATGGAGTGACAATGAATTCATGCAGGATTGAACAATGAACCTTGAACATATAAAATATGTATCGCCTTCATGTTGAAAGACAAAACTAGAATAAACGTAATATGTATCAGCATTCTAGAAATATAGTATGATTTTGATGATCTAGAAGTAATATAGTGTGTGGGTAGAATGCAGAAAGTATATATAATAAATCAATAAATACAAAATGAACTATGATTTTTTTCACTATTATCCCAAACATTAAAATTGACATCCTATGATTATAAAATTTTTCTCATGCTTATTATTCAATTTTTAGAGTTAATAACTTGTACAAATAACAAACAGATAATGCAACACAATTAAAATGTGATACATGGAAGGTAATGAAGTAAATGTTTTAAGCTTTCTAAGTGAAGTATGATTGATAACTTTATTAAGAAAAAAGATTAAGAACTTCGAATTAACTCCTAAGATCAAAGGTCCTTCTGACAATCATATCAAACTCTTATGATAAACTTAGGGACTTTAGGAGGATGAATTGTTTTCTTAAAATAAAAATTGGCCATAGTATGTAATTATTTGATAGTATGATTCATCTATTTCTTGACATAGATTTTCATGAAGCCAAAAGTTAAAAATGTAGAAATATGTAACTTTAATTCAGCATTTTACTGACTATTCTTTCTATAATTTTATATATTTGATGGCAAGTCCAATACAAAATCAGTGCCTTGTTGAGTTGCTTTTAGATAAGTAATCGTTGCATATACTTTTCTGATAATTAGATGATGAGAAGGTTGTGATAAATTAGGAGTGCTTACACGGTTGGATTCAGCTTTTTGCTCTAGTTGGAGCACGAACAGGTGAGTTTATAGGCTCAATTTTAGATTTAAGGTTTAATTCTAGCATATGTTCAACAATAAATTTATACTAGAGAATCTCATTCCAAACCATCTGAAAACCATTGATTATGATATTTTATATGATGCAAAATAAGTCATGCAAATAGAGATTTATGGTAAGATAACATCAAAGACAACTAAATAAACTTCATAAAATATTAAGAACAATAAGAAAATTTGAACTATTAGATCATGTAATAGCATGAAACTAACAAGTAAAAGCTAAAAAATAACAAAAGGTGAATCAAATTAGACTAGCTACCATGGGTTGACACAAGTCCAACATTTAAGTCAAAGCTTATGTTTAATGAAGTGTCGCCTTAGAATATTCTTAAGCATGAGATATTTTTATATATTCGATTACTAATATCATTGTGATGTCTTTTATTGCACTAATCCCTATAGTTCATTTTCTCAAACTAGGCTATAAATGAGTTGAATTAGACCAAATTTAAACCTTTTTAATCCCATATTTATACATAAATGAGTTGAATTAGACCAAATTTAAACCTTTTTAATCCCATATTTATCCCTAATTGAAGTTTTCCATATTTTATTAGATTTATTTTATTTGGATTTATTTATTCTTTTAAAGTAATTAAATATTAGGTTTAAATTTAAATTGCTTTGATAAAATTATCTTTAATTTCAAATATAATCATATTTATTTGCAAAATATTTTATTTTATCTTTCTAAAAGTATTTCAGAAGTGTGAATAAAGTGGCATTTTGATGCTTTAGCATGGTGAACGATACCCCTAACACAAAAAAAAAAAAACCTCACCCTAACACAAAAGTTGATGATGAATTATCAAGAGAGATAAAACCAGTTATATTCTAGTCAACGTATGGTGAAAAGTATGCTTATCCAATATATTAAGAATACAACAACAACAACATCAAGCCTTTGTCCCACTACCAATATGGTAAGAATGACGTTCTAAAAAGATTAGGGATAAAGATTAAAAAATCACTAGAATTAAAGTTTCCAAATTAAGGCGCACATGAGAAGTGATCTCCCTTGTAGAAATTAAGCAAGATTAAAAGAGAATGAGAAGTGCGAACAAAGTTTAACACTACATTATCGACAATAAACAATTAATTAATTAATGAAGACGTAGTAGATACTATAGTGAACTCCCTTTTCGAAGAAACTAAGTGGGAGATTAAAAGAGAATGGGAAGTGTGAATAATGTTTAACACTATATTATCAACAATAAAAAATTAATTAATTAATGAAGGCATTTAGATGCCTAGCAAGGTGAAAGATCAACTCTCCATACACAAAAGCTGGTAATGAATTATCATGGCAGTTATATGAAGGTTTGGAAGTGGAGAGGTTCACGGTTTTGGGGTTTGGAGGGGAAAGCTAGGCCGGGTGCATGGGGAGGATGAGGGAAGAGATGATTTGGCTAATTTTTATGGGTTGGAAAGGGAGAAGTTAGCTTGGGAAGTGAAGAGGTGGGGGATGGCTTCTTGGGGAAGAGAATGGGATGATGTGGCTTGCTTGGGAAGAGAATTAGTTAGCTTGAGAAAAGGAAGACGTGGGGTCTGGCTGCTTGGGAAAGAGAAAGAGCTAATGTGGCTTGTTTTAGAAGGGGAAAAGTTAAAGCGGTTGTGGTTCTCCAAAGGTCACAAATAATTGAGATAAGGTGGAGGCGGTTAGAGAGGAAGGGAGAAGGTGGAGGCAGTTAGAGAGGAAGGGAGGGAGGTGGCTGCTAGTTGAGGGCAGCAGGTTGTTGCAGCGGTGGGAGGTTGTTTTGGTGGCTAATGAAGGAGAAGATTGAGACAGAGAGGTAAGATGATATCGACCATGTGCTCTCACGCTGTTGGGTATTTCTTTGCTTTTCTCTAAAGGACTTTACACACAAACTCAACTCACCAAAAGAAGAGGAAGCATATAACCATAAATTTATATCAAAATTTTGATCATCCATACAAGAGAACAATGGGCCATAGATATAGACAACAAAACATGAAAAGAACAAAAGACAAGAAAGCCTTTGGCCAAACAACACAAAAGATCTCTCAAGTGAGGGTAAAACTGTAATAAAATAAATAATACCACATAAATCTCCTACAACACATGAAAACTAAAAATATAAAGACTCTCCAAGCTTTGATGTCCCCATCATTATATATTCAATATGATCAATCCATTTGAGGGGGCATTTAAAAGATCTAGTATTAGTAGCATCGCCTGGAACTTTGATGTTGGAGGGCAAAGGATCTTAGATGATGATGTAGTAGTTGTTGGCTTGGCTTGAGTGGGATTATCAATACTATCCTCAATGACATCATTATAATAAAGTTGATTATGAATGCATGAAACTTTCAATTATCACAAAGTTTCACTATATTTATAAAAATTAAGGAGATTATAATAACTTATACTCTACTTATGATGTGCATGATACTAACAACAAGATATACCCTAGGAGTTTATGAACCATATGTTGTTAGTTTAATTTTAGAGAATTTATTTGATACAATTTAGAAATCCTTCTATGATATTGTAAATGTCACATTTAACTATTATAATATTGGGTAGCTTTTCTTTCCTCTTATGAAGTTTAAGAGTTATTATGATACTATGAACCTATGTATATGTAATGAGATAATGAATTGACATGTTAAACATGTAAAGATGCAACTAACATGAATGCCAACTTAAGTGGAATGATATGAACAAGTTATTAAGCTAACAATATAAATTAAACCACATGAGTAAACTTTTATTGCTATTAATTCATTCAAGTGTCAATGCAATAGTAAATCAAACTTAGTTCAGTTTATAATGGTTTATAAACTATTTGTGAGCCTTTTTAGTCCCAAACTATCTAATGTGTACAATTTAGTTGCCCTACTCTTCTAAATTGATCCAAAATAGTCAC